GTGGGAATTGAAGTCCAAAACACCTGGAGGGCTGAAGTTTGCCCATGGCTGAGGTATAGGCACCTTTTGGAGGATGCAGAGGGCACAGTAGCCCTCGGGTGAACAAGACCACATTTAAATTTTGGCCACCATTTGGCTCCCTTGAGCCATTTCAAGCTTATCAGAACACCCCCTCCCCATTTTTTTGCATCATCCTAAGGCCAGAGGTCTTTACATTAGGATTTATGCCAAAGCCTCTGAGTTGTCATCTTGGTGAACCTTACACTTGCTCTCTTTCAAGGCATCAGAAACACATATCCTTTCAACTGCTGTAACATCCCAGTTTCTCTTGCCTTTTCTCACTTTCCTTGTCCTTAGCATACCTGAGTTTTTTTTAAAGCCAAGTTCAATGTGCAAAAGTAATCCACTTAACTCTGTAGGAATGGGGATGGGGATGGGGAGAGGAGAGGAGATTCAAGGGCAGAGACATGCCATTTCCTAGAGATTCAGGCAAAAACATACAGCTGCAGCACCTCCTTTCTTGTGAGTTCGTCCTCATTAACCTCTGTAGTCCTCTTGACCTGGGTTTGCTTGACCACGTGTCCTAGGTCTCATCTCTAAAATTTGGCGGGTATGGCATTTCAATATGACTATTTTAACCATAAGTCTGTTTAAATTAGTATTCAAAATGTTGTGGGACAGCCCACTACTGCAATACTGCCTATAATAAAACTTTATTTATATTCCACTCTATTTCCCTGGAGGGACTCAGGGCAGATTAATGTTTGAACCTTGAACACTACACAATCAGACATTTATCCAACTGGTCACTGCCTCTTCCTTCTGGTGTCAGCATGACATTTCCAGCTAGGATTTTGTTTGATTGATCCTGAGTAGAATAGAGGAGGTTGGACAAGATACTTCCAATTCTATGGAACCAATTTGGGATTAAGACACTTCCCGGGGACTGGACATTACAACTGTCTCCTGGGAACTGCCATGCAGGGAATATTTAAAACAAATATGACATTTCTGGAAGCACAATTCTGCTTTATAACCATTCAAATGACCTCTGTGCACTTTCCGAATATATTTTCCCAATTATTGATGGAAAATTAGTAGCAGTTGTGAGAAGTAAGATAATAATAAAGAATGAAGTAAGATAATAATAAAGAATGAAGTGCACGTGTCCCATTGGACTTGTATAGGCCACCACTATTCAAGGATGAGTTCATCCCTTTATAAGTCTGTTAGTGTTTCCTCCATACCACTTCTGTATGTAGTGTAAACAGTGTGTCTGGTTGCAGTTCACAATCTATCTCTGCCTAGACCTAAAAGATCAATTAGGTATATGGTTTATTTGCCATTGCCACCACCACAATCCCATCCACACTGGGAATCCTACTTTCTAATAACGTTCTTGTCTTGCCTCAATATTACCTCAGTTGTAAGCTTGGTTAGCCACTCAAACTGCTTCAATTTATAAAACACGTCCTTAATCTAAATACATAAGAAAAGATAAATCACAAAACAACCATATTATAATGAAAACTGTATTTAAAAGTTGCATAAACATGTAGACTAGCACAAAATTTTACATTGCTTCAGAATTATGCTACCGTCTTGAAATCTAGGCACTTCTGAAGACTTGAACAAATGCATTTAATGTAGTTTACCCACCACAGTCAACAAACTAGATTCTCTCTTAGTCTGATCTTGCAAGCTAAGCAGGGTCTGTCCTGGTCAGTACATGGATGGGAGACTTCCAACTAAAATCAGGTATTGTAAATTTAGTTATTCCTTCAAAACCCTATGAAAATAATGAGATCATCAGAAGTCAATATGGGACATGGAAGTGTGTATGCAGTTGAGCTGCAAACATTAACAGTTTGTAGCTCAACAGATACATTACCATTTATTTGTTGGAGTCCCTAAATCAGGAACTTCTGCTGAAAACATGGGATAATGTATATCATATCTAGTTCTAGGGGAAATTTAATGTTCTTTTCATATTGTGCTGTGTTGTGATCAAGGCTCAGTTTGGAAAGTGGGATTTTATGGAAGCTAAAGGGAGCTCTCACCAAATCTTTAGGTGGCCTGGCAACCCTTCTTTTAAGCCCGCAGTAGCAGTGTAATAACAGCAGCTGGCTTTATGGGGTTCTGGAAGGATGACTGAAATAATGTTTACAAAGCTCTCTGAACACTTACCCTGTGCCTATGTGTTTGTGTGTAATATACTCACTGAATGCTCTAACTGAAGGAAAATGCAAATAAGTCCTCAGCCCAGCTCAGTTGAGGGGTTTCTTACTCATTCTGCTGAGTGATGTTCTGGACTTTCACATCCTAAGTCTAAGTTTCCCAAGTCTCCTCACCACCACTGGCTTTCATTTTGGTTCTTGAAACCTGCCCTTCACTTGCACTGAAGGTAAAATTAAGCAAGGACCTTTTCAAGGCCGCCCTGAGACCAGGCAGTTTCAGCTCCCATGGGAACCCATTTTTTCCAGGCAGAGGCACTCCCTAGTTTACGTCGCTGGAGTGTTCTAGCCTTTGAGAATAGGAACAACCCTCTGCAGCAAGATTACCGCCGACTCCATCCATTATATGAGAACTTCATGTCATGTTACTACACATACATCATTGAAGATTGTTAGCAGGTCACTCCAGCTAGGCTCCTGCATTTTTGGTAACTTATTGAGTAGTAGTTCCACAGTACTCTCTGTCATAGAAACAGGTTGCATGCCATGGGATATACAGGGATGTGATGGCACGCCCGAGCCTTTGGGAAAACTATACTGTCTGGTTTTACTCGGGGGCTATCTGTATACCTTCTGTTAAGAGTAAGACTCTTTAACACAGAGAGGCACTTTAGGCAAGGTGAATAGATAACCAAATGAGTTTACTACAAACAAGATGAATAAAGGGTTAACTCCACCCAGGGCTATCATAAGGTAACTTAAAACAATACATTACAAAAGGAGCCTTTGCTGGCTGCAGTTATCTCTCTGGAGTCTTCTGCCTCTTGGTGCAAAGCGATGGTTATAAACTGTCTCAATTGTCTTTTTTGTGAAGCATAAGCTGGTCATAAGCTTCCATTGTCCTTTGGACTGCTGTTATAAAAATACTGCTGAATGCAGGTGCTAAGGATGCTTGTTTTTGGGTTGCTAGGCCTAGGGTTACCAGACAACCCAAAGCCTAAGTCACAGTAGCTCTGCTGTAGAAAGAGGAGGTGTCCAGCAAGAGAGCTCTATACAGGCAAATGGAATCGACCAACTAAATCCTCTGGGGGGATTTAAAGCTCCATTCAAAACTAATACAAAGGAAGGTATCTACACTATTGGGAAAACTTATGAACGGGGAAACTGAAGCAGAGGAGAGGAAAAGGCAGAGCTAAGACTTTACAGAGGAATATGAACCTGCCTAGAGCAGGCCATCCCTTATAGAAACAGCTGGAAAGATTGTGAATCCTGCTGCTGGTCACGAAGTGAGCTATTCTTCTGGATAAAGATGAAGAGGAGGGAGGACGAGCAAAATATCCATGGTTTAGGAATTCTTATAGCCCAGTGAGTAGCCAAGAGTTATGTGTCTAAATCTAGGGCAGTGGTTCTCAACCTGTGGGTCCCCAGATGTTTTGGGCTTCTACTCCCAGAAATCCTAACAGCTGGTAAACTGACTGGGATTTCTGGGAGTTGTAGGCCAAAACATCTGGGGACTCACAGGTTGAGAACCACTGATCTAGGGAGTGGTGTGCTTCTTGCTTCAAGTCTAGTTACCAGTGCTCAAAGGCGCTACTTCTGGGGCAGTGTGTGCCTGCTTGTCCTGTTCCCTGCCTCTAGGGTAAAATCTTGTATTTAAAAAGCTGGAAAGAATTACCAGACATTTGCCAACAAAGAGATTACCTGTATATGGGAGATACTATTAACTGCTGTTGGAGAAAAGTTTTAAGAACAATAATACAGTTCAGACAAGTCACTATATTTACATACAGTAAAAAGGGATGGGATGGGAGGACATGAGAGATGAGCTCACAGCAGTTATACTTGCCAGCAACTGCTGTTCTTTGTCTTGCTTGGTAGAATTGGGGTTGGGGGGGGTGTATCTTGGCACCCACTAATTGGGACATTGTCACAGATGCATGTTTGTGCCAGAGGAGGTCCTGCAAAGTTACCAGGTAAAGGAGCACTCAGGTGTGCTTTCGGAGATAGGCAACCATGCAAGGCATTCTTTTCTAGCGTGAGTCTCAGAATGCAAAAGGAAACATAATAAGGAATAATCCCTACATGGTATTTTCATTTAGGAGTCCAATATCTTAAAATGCAGAGTACGAAATAGTAAAATCTCATTGTTATAAGCTAAACTGGTCCCCCTTCTAAAGGCCTTATCTAGGCTTTACCTCTGTTAAGAGGCAAAGCCTATTTTATTATTTTGGGAACTGACTATAATGAACACACTTAACAGAATGTGGTATTGTTTTTTAAAAACATATTTCCTTTGCCTTTTTAACATATTTTGTTTGGTTTTATTTGTGGTTGATCAAATTTTAATGGTAATTTTTGTATGTTTTATCTATATTGTTTCTGTTTCAAATTTTAAGTGGCCTTCTGTTCCAATTTGCAAATAGGAAATGAGATATACAGTCAGCCCCCAACATTTGTGGGTTTTGCAGATTTGATTATTCACATATCAGATTACTTTGTTATCACTAAGAATACATCTGCAAATGCAACTCTATTAAAGACATCTGCCAGAAGAGATTCCCAGAGAGATTACTTGTCGAGGTAATCCAGCACAATTCTGTGATCAACTTTTGGTGAACTGAAAATACAGTCACACTGAAGGACCGAGAGATTCCTAAAGAGGCTTTCTCTCTGGTAAAAAATATGTTTTTTTTAAATTTGCTATTTTTCCACTTTCACGTGGCTTCTCTGCTCCTAACTGCTGTGCAAGCAAAGGGCCTATTGTAAACAAAATCCATGACCAAATTTATAGAAATTGAGATAGATTTTATTTCTTTACTACTTCTTCAAAGCCCATCAGCAAATTCCTAGGTCAGATTTCTGGTTCCTCCCTTCATGCTACAGTTAAATATGGGATATCCACATTTACATAAAGCAAGGATGATTAGCTAGAGGAACTGTGAGTAGACAGCAGACAAGATGCCTAGATAGGAAACCGTAATTAGTGTAAGGGATTTATATATCAGGCTGAGAAACTGCAAATGGCTTCTGGTGTGAGAAAATTGGCCGTCTGCAAGGACGTTGCCTAGGAGACACCTGGATGTTTTACCATCCTTCTCTCATGGTTCTCCACGGAAAGCTGGAGCTGACAGATGGGTGCTCACTCCATCTTGCAGATTTGAACTGCTGACCTTCAGAACAGCAGTTCAGCCTGTGCCCATTGTGCCACCGTATAACTTAGTGATTTTGGAGATAGACCTACCTATATGTAGATAACAAGAATTAATTACACTACATTAATTAGGCACTGATAAATAATTAGGCAATCCATCTTCAATTCCATAAAGCATCAAATAAATCTAGAGTTTCATTAACGTGTTTCAGAGATTCTGAGCTCTCACAATCTCTAAATTTGCCACATCGGAGTCAATAAATATGAAAATCAATCTCAGGAAGTTTCTTGATCTCTTCTCAGATGAAGAACTCCCTCCAAGGCCTCTCTTCTTGTATGTATCTTTGGCCAATCTCATTGCTAATTCTTCTCCCTGGTGCCTTGCCTAGGAGCAAAATTTTGCAAGCTAGTTAAAAATGTCTAAATAGCAAATGGGAAAACTGAAAATGTAAAACAAAAAGTGGGAAATGTTGAGCCCTCTTCATCATGAGGCTTCTGACCAATTGGGACCACAGCCTTCATTATTTCAGTCAGTGTGACTGCCATTGCTCTATATCTGGAGCCCTTCTGCTTTTTCACCCCAAGCTGATGCACAGAACAGTATTTCGGTCATGGGGCAGATCTTGAACTCATCACCCAGGGTACCTGCGCATGGCCTCGGTAGGGATCCTACCCAGGGAAAAGTGAGGCTTCATTCATCAGAGGACTAGTAATCACGACTTTCTTTGCTATGTTGGAACAGTTGAAAGGTATGCAGATATTGTCTCCTTTGATTCTTACAAATTAGAAGGCATAAAACAACCTCCACCCAGTGCCCAGAAGAAGAAAAAGGTTATTAAAGGTAAAATTCAGTGCATACATACCTATCAAAAGAAGTACCATTTAACTCAATGGGACCTCCTTTTGAGCAATCATAGGATGGCACTGTAAACGACTTTCTTCTGTTGTTCTTACTGCAGTGTCACTTTAAAAGATGGGATATTAATATAAGGCAACATTAGCATTGGAATATATTAATAATCATATTAAGGCAGCATATATCCCTCATTAAAAATAATGATCACAGGGTATGTGTGGATAATACCATGACAGAAGTACAGCACGTAATTTCATTGGGAACTAAGCCACTGAAATGAAGATAAAGTGATAGGGATGACAGATTATCATTTAAAAAAATCTGGAACTGGATTAATAATTACTGGGAGGAAAATTCCCTTGCTTCCTGTGTTTTGTCAACACTGATCTAAACAGCATTCTTCCCTTTCTTTAAGGTGTAGCTGTGCTGATGTTCAGCTACAACATAATAATTTGAGACAGACATACCTTGGCATGTTGTACTTGTCTCTGCAAATGGCTGGCAGTCTTCCACAAGCCAGTTTAATATCCCAGGATAAACAGCTTCATGTCTGAGCTAGTATAAGAGGGAGAAATGTGTGAAGTCTATAAGGGAACTCGATCAACAGGGGGAGCTCTTCTCCCTTGCAGAACTGAACTACCTAGCACTTCTCCTACCTGAGAAAATGAGAGTTGCCTACCTCCACAAAACTATTCTATGCCTGGGTCAATCTTGGTCAGATTTGTTAATGAACTGCAGGGTCAACCCAAACATGCAGGATCCCTACCTTCATAATCAGATTCCCTCTCTCAATCCCAGATTATTTAACAGTCCTTTCAACGGGCTGTTTGTCCAAATGGGTGTCTTTGGAAGCCCATGAACAGGACATGGGTGCCAGAGCTTTCTGCATGTCATGATTGTGTGCCTTTAAGTTATTAATGACTTATGGTGACCCTAAAGTAACCCTATTAGAGAATTCAATTGGCAAGATTTGTTTTCAGGGGCAATGGCTTTGCCTTCCTTTGAATCTGAGGGAACATGATTTCCTCAAGGTCACCCAATAAGTTTCCATAGCTGAGCTGTAGTCCAGTGCTCAAATCACTACACTACGTTGGCTCACTTCTACTCCAACTCTTCAGGAATGGAAACTCTATTCAACGATATACTGTCTCTGATACCAGAGACATCATGACTGGCAACCACAATATCCCCATCCTTCATCCATTAGTCCAAAATGCCTTTATAACCATCCAAATTGTGGCCTTCACTACATCTCACACTAGTAGATTTCATTTTAGTTATGTACTGTAATGAAGTACAGACAGACCTCTGTATCCACAAACTGAAAAAATATTCAAAGATTTTCCAAAAGGCCAAAGGCATCATTTTACCATACAAGTTTACATCATGAGACTTGAGCATCCATAGATTTTTATATCCACAAGGGGTCCTATAACCAAACCAGAGCAGCTAACAAGGGCCCACTGTACACCCTTTTATTTATTTATTTATTTATTTATTTATTTGATGCACTTATTAACCGCCATTCTCAGCCCTTACGGGCGACTCATGGCGGTGTACAGTACACGTAAAAAGACAGTTACAAAAGCCAATATCCACAATACACACAATACAACAATACAAACTACATAAAAATCCGCTTCGTCTCTTAATAGAATCGTAGGCCAGTCTCCTCGTCCTTATACCATTCCAATTCTCATTACCGTAATGACATTGCTAGCACTTAATTAAATGCCCTCTCGAACAGCCAGGTCTTAAGGCTTTTTCGAAAGGACATGAGGGAGGGCGCCTGTCTAATGTGTGCCGGGAGAGTGTTCCACAGCCGGGGGGCCACCACCGAGAAGGCCCTCTCCCTCGTCCCCGCCAGCCGTGCCTGTGATGCAGGCGGGATCGAGAGAAGGGCCTCCCCAGACGATCTCAAGGTCCTCGTGGGCTCGTAGGCCAAGATGCGGTCAGCAAGGTATTTTGGGCCGGAACCGTTTAGGGCTTTGTAGGCCAAAACCAGCACCTTAAATTGGGTCCGGTAGCAAATCGGCAGCCAGTGGAGCTGGGACAGCAAGGGCGTTGTATGCTCCCTGCCCCCCGCTCCAGTTAGTAACATGGCTGCCGCACGCTGAACCAGCTGAAGCTTCCGGGCCGTCTTCAAGGGCAGCCCCACGTAGAGAGCGTTGCAGTAATCCAGGCGGGATGTGACAAGAGCGTGTACAACCGTGGCCAAGTCAGACTTCCCGAGATACGGGCGCAGCTGGCGCACGAGCCTGAGCTGTGCAAATGCTCCCCTGGTCACCGCTGAAACCTGGGGATCCAGGCTCAACGATGAGTCCAGGGTCACACCCAAGCTGCGAACCTGCGCCTTCAAGGGGAGTGCGACCCCGTCCAGCACAGGCTGTAACCCTATATCCCGCTCGGCCCTGCGACTGACCAGGAGTACCTCTGTCTTGTCTGGATTTAGTTTCAGTTTGTTCGCCCTCATCCAGACCGTTACAGCGGCCAGGCACCGGTTCAGGACCTCGACAGCCTCCTTAGTAGCAGGTGGAAAGGAGTGACAGAGTTGGACATCATCTGCGTACAGATGCCACCGCACCCCGAAACTCCGGATGATCTCACCCAGCGGCTTCATGTAGATGTTAAACAGCATGGGGGACAGTATAGAACCCTGTGGAACCCCACAAGTCAAAGGTTGTGGTGTGAACAGGAGTCCCCCAATGACACCTTCTGGGTGCGACCCTCCAGAAATGACTGGAGCCACTGCAAAGCAATGCCCCCAAGACCCATTTCCGCAAGGCGCCCCAGAAGGATACCGTGGTCGACGGTATCGAAGGCCGCTGAGAGGTCCAGGAGCACCAACAGGGACACACTCCCCCTGTCTAGCTCCCGGCGCAGATCATCCACTAAGGCGACCAAGACGGTCTCGGTACCATGTCCCGGTCTGAAACCAGACTGTGCCGGATCCAGATAATCCGTGTCTCTCAAGAATACCTGGAGTTGTGAGGCCACCACGCTTTCCATGACTTTGCCCAAAAAGGGAAGATTGGAAACAGGCCGAAAGTTGTCCAATTTAGTGGGGTCCAGTGATGGCTTCTTCAACAGCGGCTTTATGATAGCCTGTTTTAGGCTCGCTGGAATCTTGCCTTCCCGAAGGGAGGCATTCACCACCACTGTTACCCACTCGGCCAATCCCCCTCTGGCCTCTCTCAGAAGCCAGGATGGGCAGGGGTCTAGGATGGACGTGGTGGGCCTCATTCCTCCAAGTATCTTGTCCACATCCTCGGGTTTCACAAACTGAAAAGAATCCAACAAAATAGGACAAGCAGGTGCTCTCGTTACATCCACAGGATCTGCATCTAACGCGGCGTCCAGCCCAGAACGGATCAAGGCGACTTTGTCTGCGAAGAACCGAGCAAATGCTTCACAGCGCGTGACCGAATTGTCAGGGTTCCCACCTTTCCATCCATCCTGAATCTCCCACCTTTCAACTAAATAGGATGACACCGTGTTCTGTTTTCAACTTTCAACTCTGTTTGTAGCATTCAAAATTGTGCATACCTCCACCATTTTATCTCCCCTTTGTTCCCCTTTCAGCCAAGGGGATGCAGACAAGCCACATGTGTAGCCTTTTCCCTTTGATGAGCTGTTTCAGTTCCAGTTTTGGCTAACCTTTTCTGCATCTTCCTCTACAATTTGCTTTTCAATAAACAGGCTCTCCTCCACATGTTCCTAGACACTTACTGTGAAGTGTTCCTAAATGCACCTGTGAGAGGGACTGAGTATTGTACTGTTTGCTTTGGCTAATTTCCTTTGGCTAATTATTAACTGGCAGGAGCTTTGCACTGCATTTCCCCACAGCAGCAATGTCAAACTTTGCCCTGAAAAATGAAAGCCTCTTCTTCTCTGATTCAGCTAGTGAGGATTTGAAATCTGTTGCCAAGGAGGAGCGGAAGATCTTAGTTCAAATGTCTCCATGAAGGCAAAACAGGTGTAGCATCATTATTTCAGTCCGAGCAAGCTCACCTAAGTGGAAAGATGCAGGTCTGGAAAAGCTGGTGAACCTTTCCACACTCTCCCCCAACACCTGTTTTTCCACTCTCTTATCATATAAGAACTAAGGGTGTTTAGTCTAAGGCTCTAGGAACAGTAATAGACCACAATCCTCTCATCCCTTGTAAAAACGCAGTAAATTCTAACTGGTTGAAACAAGTTTGGTAAGTTCTTAACTTGATCAGCCTACACTGGCTGAGTTTTTCTACATTGTGCCTGAATTAGATGGTTCAAACTGATATACAATAGCACTTTCCTCTTTAATATTTATAGAACTTGGCATTGCTCAGTGAAAGTAATTGGAGACAGAAAGTGTATTTATGCTGTAGAATATAAGTTGACACCACATTAACCTGGCTCAGTGCTATGAAATCATAGAAATTAGGCCTGCATCACACACAGTGGTTCTCAACCTGTGGGTCCCCAGGTGTTTTGGCCTACAACACCCAGAAATCCCAGCCAGTTTACCAGCTGTTAGGATTTCTAGGAGTTGAAGGCCAAAACATTTGGGGACCCACAGGTTGAGAACCACTACACTAGAGTATCTCTCCACTTTAAATCCAGTAGTTGCCTCCTGCAGAATTCTGGGGTTTGTAGTTTAGTGAGGTCCAGGACCTCTCTAACTGAACAGTTTAAAGCAGTGGTTCCCAACCTTTCCTTGACCAGGGACCACTTTGACTTTTCCAACATGAATACCAAAAGGGTTATGAATCAGTTTTTGGTCAACTTTAAATTTGGTTTGGGGTGCTGATTCAAAAAATTGCATTGGATAGACCACATTTAGTTTCTGATACAGAACACATGCCATGGTCAGCAACAGGGAAGGAGTGGCAGGTGGCATAAAAAGAGCGGAAAATAAATAAATAAATAAAATAAAGAGAAAGGAGGTTCACAGACCAGATTTTAGTCCTCACGGCCCACTGGTGGTCTGTGGCCGACATGTTAAGAACCACTGGTTTAAAGGCCTCTCTCTAAACTACAAACCCCAGAATTTTGCAGGAGGCAGCTACTGAATTTAAAGTGGATAGATGCTCTACTACAGTGGTTCTCAACCTGTGGGTTTCCAGGTATTTGAATCTACAACTCCCAGAAATCCCAGCCATTTACCAGCTGTTAGGATTTCTGGGAGTTGAGGGCCAAAACATCTGGGGACCCACAGGTTGAGAACCACTGGTGTAGGGGATCAAGCTTGAGATCTTTTTCTCTTGAGCTTTTGGGCATCAGTGGTAATTTGTTAATTAGTGGTAATCTGTTCAACTGGGTGATCTTGGGCAAGTCACATTCTCTCAGCTTCAGAGGAAAACAAAAGTAAAGTTTCTGTGAAGAAATATTTCCAAAAATAACTGGTGGTGAGTAGAAACAACTTGATTAAGTGCAACAACAAAATTGTAAAGAACAGAAATAAAATGGGAAAATTTTCAATCAATCTAGATGAGTTCAAAATATGTTTGAATACTTACAATTAAAAGTGTTGGCTAAACAGATTTATCCAAGCCAATTGCTTAAGCCTGCAATCGTATGCATACTTAAAAGTTCCAGTCCATTCAATATATATTCAATAAATTATATTTAGGACTTGATTGTGGTTAGATGCCTTAATTCTAACGCCCAATGATTTAAAATAAAGCTTGGTCTCAGAAATTTCCCTAAATCCCAGCCATTGCTTTACAACTATATAATATATTGTATGTATATATATCTTGTAAGCCGCTCTGACTCCCCTTCTTGTGTGAGAAGGGTGGCACATAAATGTCATAAATAAATAAACTAATTTTCATGATATTAGTGGGGCAAGAATTTATATTCAGGTTTCAATGAGGAGAGAAGGCATTGTGGGGCTGATTTTAGGTGCTTGTTTTCTCACCTAAAAGTTGTTGAGATGAGATATGATTTCCAGAGTAATAAACAGGACTGTCTATTTCCCAGCCTCCCCCCTGTGGTGAGTGAATTGTACTTTAGGATTCTGACATCTGGAATTTCCCTATAAAAGTATCTGGCAAACACGTTATCAGATGCAAACAAGAACCAAATGCGATTCAGTGGAAATATGGGAGGTCCCAAAATATGTTCCTCATTGAAAAAGCATTTTAAACATCTAGTAGTCAAGGAGTCTTGTGGTGAGCAGGGTAGGTTGCCAGGCCCTACACCGCTCCAGGCAAGGTAGTGGGAAGAAAGGAGGGGTGAAATTGGTGTGTTTGCTCAGATGTCGAGAAATATTTAATTAAAAATCATGCATAAAATCCATCTACATGTACACACAAGCAGACCAACCCAGACACTTAAATGTTCAAAGTGTCCTGACTCAAGCCCCTAAGAGCAACTTCTGCCATTTGCCAACTATGAAAGGATTCTGAGCATACTACAAATTTGAGCAGCTGTCATTATTAGACATTTTAGTAACACCTGGGGCTTCATGGCATACCTTAAGCCAGGCAAACTTCAGCCCTCCAGGTGTTTTGGACTTCAACTCCTAGAAATACCAGCCAGGTTACTGGCTGCTAGGAATTGTGGGAGTTTTAGTCCAAAACACCTGAAGGGACAAAGTTTGTTCATGCCTGGCTTAAGCCATCTACTGACTACTGTTCCGATCAGCTGTGATCTGTTTAAGCCCCTGGCAGAGATGTGCTTAGGATCCCTTTATCCTACTTCTAGTTGTGTATAGATGCGGAGTGACTATTTCATACCTTCCAATTTCCTGGTTTGCTGGGGACTGTTTAATACAATAGTTTATTGTCCCTCATTCTCAGCTGTTTTAAAAATGTCCTGGTTTCTCTTTCCAATCATTCTTCACAGTTGTCTTGTTTCAGTTGCTGAAAACTGAGTTCAGAGTGCAAAATCTGTTTGCAATGAATTAACCAAGTACGAGGAAGGAGTGGAGTTTTCTGTTTCTAAACTCTGTACATAAATTCTATCCTGTCCTATAAAAATTGTAATTGTGTCTGTTCTTATCAATGACTTTTGCCCTCTTTTTGCCTGAGGACACCTTCTTGGTTCCACTCTGATGTGTCTCTGCTTCCTGTGTTCCAGTTTTCTTCTGTGAAATGTTGGAAGGTACACAATTTGGGTACCTTTTTCAGGCTCAAAGATAAAAACCACTATGACTATCTCCTATTTTCCAGGGTTTGGGTGCTGGCACTGATGGCAGATGATGTAAATTTAAAGCCTTCTATTCCATGATTATATAAGAGCTATTTCATAATTTATATTACACTAAAGTGGAAAGCATTTTGTGAAGAAGACAAACTTTTATATTCCATTCACTGCAGGGAACCATTACATGGAAGTACATCCATGTAATGTCCAATGTATATTTTATTGCTCACATTGAACCATGATAAATACAAAGCAGCTTTTGGAGACATTTTTTAAAGGAACATGAACCACTCAGGGTAACAGATTTCAGCCATAATCTCATCATTTTATTTTGGGAAAATGATTCCTGAACACAGCAGGGTTGGATTTTAAATACATACAAGATCAGCCTGCAAAAGCTTTCTATGGGCCTTCTACACACCCATATAACCCAGAATATGAAGGCAGATGATCCACAATATCTGCTTTGAACTGGGTTATCTGAGTCCACACTGCCATATAATCCAGTTCAATATGGATTTTATATAACTGAGTTAAAGGGGGCCTTAGTTCATCTTTTCTGAACAGCCAGCTGGAATCCAGAAAAGAATTTGGGTTATCGTTCCTTGATTCAACTGTTATCACCCAACAATAGCATTCAAAACTTATTTTATCAGAAAAACTTCCAGAAAGAAAGAAAGGTGGATCCAAATCAGAGTCAATTCAAAGCTCCCTTTAAAAACAAAATAAAATCAAAGTCAGCAAGGTGCCATGCAAATGTCTCAGAGAATGGCATTCTGAATCATTTGGGGCTGCTATGAAAAAGGCTTTGCTTATTTCTTTGAAATATTCAATGAAGACACTGCTGAAGGCCAAAACATGCACTGCATTTCCCATCTCCATGGTGCTTTCATCCTGTGACTATCCTGAAGCTTGTGGATAAAAACTCTTTATCAAGCAAAACTGTTAAGCACATAAAAAGGGGAAGGGCTGCCTTCCAGTATTGCTGGACTCCACGCTCCATGATTCTCATCCAAGGTCAAGGGTGCAAACTTTGGAGGATGTACCTTACATTATATTAAAACTGCTTGCCTCCTCAAAGGGCAAGGATGGGGACAGAAAATATCCTGTTCTGTGGCGATGACGTCACATGCCTACTCTTCTGAGTCCTGGTTTATTAGTCCACTCATCCAGTCCAACATTATTTTTCCAAAAGTAAGTAGACAGACGTTTCCAGCAAACCCTCAAACAGGTCAAGTAAAGCAACAGTCCTCCCTTGCTCTTTTTGGCTTCCCAAAGACAACTGGTATTCAGGGATATGTGTTTTCTGAACACAGAGGCTCCACATGAGCTTTCACAGTTGTTGACAGGCCCACCCGCATTCAGGAATGTATCTGGTTCCCCTTTAAGCCACTTTGAGTATCCAACCACATTGGGCACTGGCAGATGCTGGGCGTGGAACTGTTTTCCACTAGGTCCTTATGAAATGTATGGGATAGACTAGTCAACTGCAATACAACACGTGCGAGTGGAAGTGAAATGATATGAGCATAACACCAAGATGGACAACTACAGCCAAGAGGAAAAACAAATCACCTTCTGGGTGGAAAAGGAGAAACAAACTAGAGAACTGTTTCCCATTTTAATCCCACCCAACTGGATGGAAATCAGCAGGAATCCAATTGGTCCCTTCCCGATACCAAATTGGCCAGCTTCAGCGAAAGCCTCAGTCATCAGTACACCTCTGGGCACCAAATCCTCTATCATCCATTTTTTGTCAATTATTACCAACCTGACTTTGAGTTATGGTTAGTTTCTGTGAGAGACCTTCAAAACATTGTGATTATAAAAAGCTTTGCTAAACACTTGCAAGCTCGGGGTTGTGGCTTCTTTGACTGTTGTAGCCCAGGCATGGGCAAACTTCAGCCCTCCAGGTGTTTTGGACTTCAACTCACGTATTTCCTAAGAGCCTCTTTGTTTCTTTGTCCAATACTCTCAACGTCATTGAACTTTATAGTCTTTATTATGGCAGTCCCATTTCAGCCTTCTAGGGAGACTCCAAGCTTGACTTTATCTTGAACCATTTCAGTCTTTTTGAAATTCTACGAGATCTTTAGAATCCTTTTCCAATAGCGAGTTTCATCTCAGTTGATTCTCTTCCTGTCATCTTGCTTCATCACCCACCTTTCATAACCATATATAAACATTCCATACATCCCTCCTGTTTTCTCAGATCTGAATCTATCGCTAATCAATTACATTGACCCTAGTGCTTTGGGAGAAGATAAGAATTAATTTTTTCTCACTATGCCTAATTTTATAGATCTTTCAGTGCTGTCCTTCATAAGCTGTTTCAGGGTATGCCTTGGTTACATCCTGTTTGGATGACTGTAACACACTCTACTTGGGGCCGCCTTTGAAGAACATCCAAAGAGCTGCAGCTGAGACTGGCTACAGGGCTCACAATACTTCCTTGTTACAATAGCTCCACTGGTTGTCAGTTTGTTTCCGGACATGGTTCAAGGTGCTGGTTATGACCTAGAAAGCCCTATATGGCTCAGACCTGGGTTATTTGACAAATTCTATTTCCCTGTATGAGCTGGCCTGGACTCTGACCCTCATCTACATTGACCAAAGCTACCTTCAAACTGTGGTGGCCAGAGAACAAACTCCTAGAAAAGCATGCAAAAGAAAGCCCTTAATAGCCATCAGCGCTGTGTGGTTCACATCATTGCCATCCACACCTCAAACTGATCCTGCATAGCGAAACCACTTTCTTCAATACTGGTTTGAAACTGAATCAGTGTAGATGGGGCCTCTAAGATCATAAGGAGGTCCTTCTCTTAGGCCTCATCTACACTGACAATTTAATGCAGTTTTGAAACGGTATTTAAGAAAGAGGTTTTGCTGTAATTACATAGGAAAACCTGTTATCAGTATGAGGCCTGGGTGGCAATGACAGAAACCAGAGCACTGGTGCACATTAAGAGCTTTGTTTTACACAGTTTTGTGGGATGGATGCCGCAATCTAAACTGCATGAAATGGCCAGAATAGATGGGGCCTCAGGTCCACCACCATCACAACCATGGAGGGAGGGCAAGGGAGCGTTCCGCTGGGTGGCTGCCCCAGGCTGGAAGTCCCTCCCCAGGGAAACCAAAATGGTCCCCTCCCTGTTGTCATTCTGCTAAGCCCTTTTCATCCAGACATCATCATCATCATCTACTGTATTTATATGCCACTTTTCTAACCCCTGAGGGGACTCAAGGCAGCTTACAATATACTAATGACAAAAATTCAATGAGATCATGCAATACACAAAGAAATAATAACTAAATACTGCATAGAACTATGCTTTTGATAAAACTGCAAGATTTTAAGAACAGGGTTGGAAGTGTAGCCTTGTTTCTGTTGGGATTGTTTTCAACGGCTTTTCCACTCATTTGATCATTGCAAGTTAACTGGATTGTTTTGATCATGGGAACTAGATTAACTCTATTTTAAATGTTTACCTTTTGTAGGCTTTTAGTTGTATTGCTTTTAAAGCGGTGAGCCGCTTTGGGTTCCAGCACCAAGGAAAAAAAAAAGAGTAGGGTATAAACAAGCACAAGAATGCCCCGAGTTCCCTTCCACACAGCCTTAAATCCCAGAATATCAATGCAGAAAATCTCACAATATCTGCTTTGAACTGGGTTATCCACACAGCCCTATATCCTAGTTCAAAGCAGAAAATGTGGGATTTTTCTGCCTTGATATTCAAGGATATAGGGTTGTGTGGAAGGGCCCTGTGTTAAAGCAGGGGGTGCCCCAGACATTTCCCCATCAGGAAGGACTCCCTCCAGCTTCACCATATTCTTGGTTGCGCGCGCGCGCCGGTGGATCTTGTCTGTCTATATTGGAGGAGGGGGGGGCACTCCCAAGGCCTCTCCTGTGATTCATAAAAAGCTCCCCCTTAAAAAAAGGCAAGGCTACGAGGCGGGCAGAGGAGTGTGTGTGGGGAGGGGGGGGGGTCATGTTCTACATCTTTTCCTTCTCTCCTCCCTCGCCCCCCATCCCTCCTCGCTCCGCCTGCCAACATGGTGGAGGCGTGCCTGCCTGGGGGAAAAGCCAGCACGCGCACAGACACGCGCGCGCCTGCTCCGGCTCGAGCTGCGGCTCCTTTGTGTGCGTGCGCGCGCGCGCTCCAGCCAGCCAGCCAGCCTGCCTTTCCTTCCTCCTCTCCCCTTCCCGGAGAAGCCATGAGGAGGGAGCGGAGAAGAAACATCCCAATCTCCTCCTCCTCCTCCTCCTCCTCTGTGCCCTCCCCACCGCCGTGTGTTTCAATGAGGAAGAGCTCAACCTCGAGAGGCTGGGTTCCTTCGCGCACGCGCCCTTCCTGCTCCCTTGCCCGCCCGCCCGCTCTCTTCTGCGGCTCCTTTCCACCCAACCCTCTCTCACCGCTCCTGCCCCCGCCCCTCCTCGGGGCAATTACCTGTCTGCGCGCCCCGCCCCCGCGCTGATTGACGGCCTGCGTCACGGGGGTGGAGAGTGTGAGGGAGGGAGGGAGGGAGGGACGGTGGGGGCTGGAAGAGGCGGGCACTCGCTCGCTCGCACCTGGAGCTCGCTGGAAGGAAAGAAGGAAGGAAGGGGGATGCGCTCGGCTGGGGCCGCCGCTGCTACCACCGCCACCAGCTTGCTTTCGCGGAGCCCCTCCGCCTCGGAAGGCCCCGTGGGCCCACGCCAGCAACCCCAGCGCCCGGCGGAAGGGCCATGGTGGCCGCTGCCCCCGCTGCAGCCGCGGCCATGAGGAAGGGCTTCCTGGTGCCCGAGATCAAGCCTCTGGATCAGTACGACTTCGCCCGGGCGCGCAGCGCGGCTGGCCTGGCCTGGGTTCTGGCCAAGGGATACGGGGGCGCAGGTAGGCAGGCAGGCAACGGGGAAGAGGAAGGGGAAGGCCAGGCTGGGCTTGGGCTGGCGCCGCGTCCCTTTCTTTCCCTTCCTGATCCCTGAGCTGGGAGGCGAGGCAGGGACCCCTTCTCTTCCCTTCCCCTCCCCTCCTTGGCGCTGGGCTTGGCTTGGGAGCCGCATTCCCTCCCCCTCTCTCTGCGGGCTTCCCTCGCGCTTGGCGCCCAGGGATGCCCTCGACCCGCTTCGTGCAGCAGCAAGAGGAGGAGGAGGAGGAGGAGGAAGGCCCGGGGGGGGGGCTGCCTGGCAACTCCCCTCCCGCCCCCCGCGGCCCCCCGCGGCGCCAACAATGGGCTTGGCTCCGTCAGCGGCGCCTCCCCGCCCCTCCTCCTCCTCACACCTCTCCCCGCTTTCCCCCAACTGGGATGGCCGAGAAGGGCTACCAGGTGCCTCTTGGCTTAGCCACGGTTGGCAGTACCGGGATGGCTGTGGTCTGCCTTAGTCATCCTCTCTGCAGCGCCTTTCTTAAGCCTTATTTTATGCCTGCCTTATTCCCCTCCCCTCCGCCCCCCCCCCCTTTCAGCGACTCTCATCTCTCCCTGGCTTTGTCTTGGCTTTTGTTATAATGTCAGCTCTATTATGACTAGGATGCTGCTAGGTGAGATCAGAGGCTCCTCATCCCTGCTTCGCTGATGTCCACTTGGGTCCCCGATGATGATGGCCGAAGGTGTTGTCATCGAAAGTGCTGCCCCACCCTCCTCCACGGCCTTGGCAGATGCTAGGAACAGGATGTTCATACTAATGTGTTTACCTTTGTCCAGAGACAGCGGGGACACAAGCATGGCCCTAGCTGCTAAGCTCCCTTCTTTCCCTTAGAAGCAAACCCCAAGATGGGAGGCAGGAAGCTGTGTGCCAGGATGCCATGCGAGGGCTTGATCTTGCCTTGGCGCTGCCGAAAGGCCACTTTCATCCTTGGCTGGGTGCTCTTCAGGCCCCCCCCCCCCCGGTGATGCCAGGCCCAGGAGCGCCGTGCACCTTGGCAACCCTGCTCTTGAGCCTCTCTTCCCTTTGTCTCTGCCAGGCCTGGAATTAATGTCCTGTGAGGATTTGCGGATTGCCTTTGCTCCCATGCATGATGGAGGCAGGGAAAGGAGGGGTGGCAGACATGTTTACGGTAGCTTTGTAGACATGGGTGTTGTCTTCCCTGTCTGGTGTCCCTGCTGACCCAGGTCTTGCCTGCTTGGGTGCATCCACACTCTGCTGCCCAAAGGATGGTGATCGGGCCCCTGTGCTCCATATTCTTTCCAGGGCCCTTCCACACAGCCCTATATCCCAGAATATCTGCTTTGAACTGGGTTGTCTTCAGTCCACATTCAGATAATGTGGCATTTTCTGCCTTGATAGTCTGGTATATAGGGCTTTGTGGAAGGGCCCCCAGTCATACTGCTCATAGTGCTGCTGCATAACAGACAGCCATGTGTGGACGTAGAGAGTGGCAAAGGGTTGATACTAGGCATGGTTACCATTATGAACTGCCCATCTCTCTGTGTTGAAGTGGAGGACTCAGACACCGATAGAGCACTTGTTGTTTCTCAAAGCATAAGGGGTTACATGTATAAAGGCTTTCATCAGGCAAGGCAAACTACCAGGTAGGGTTCACAGGCCTCCTTCTCTCTGTGTATGTATTTGTGTTTGTGTGGAGAGCATTCCTCTGAGACTGCTGACCTGGAAGTAACATAATAGGGATTGAAGCTTGCTGGGCTGCAAGCCAGCCTGAGAGCTTGGAACAGGGGAATGGCTTGTGAAGTTAAGGGACAATGAACAACTCTTCTTCCTGCCCCATTTCCAGTCTTTTTCTGATCAGAAGCCCTTTCCTCACCACTGCTAAAACATGACTCTGCCACTATAGTGAAATGCAACAGCTGTTCAGTGAAACAACAGAAAAGAAGAAATGGAGTAAACTGGTCGATACTGGAAGTGCACTTTGCCTTTGCCGTGGACTCCCAAGGGTGTAGTTGAGTGTCCAGTTCCTTCCTTGGAAATTAGTGCAAATATGTGATCTGGTCAAATCAAAGGAGAACAGGTTCCTCTTGTCCTTGCCCTTCTGTGTCACACTGATGACACACAAACAGTATTCTGTGATGGAAGGGAGGGAGCCTTGTCATTTGCCTTGGATGGAGGCCAGCATGAGTAGCCCTGTTGAGCTGGTGCTGGGTTTAAAGTCCAGTCAAGTGTGGAGATATTTGCCTGCAAGGCCCACCATAGCTTTGGACTGGAGCGTTAATACCCTTTTTGAGCCTAAAAAATATCTGTTCCTGTACCAGTAAAGTACACCTGATACTATTAAGTACCGTTTCGGAAATAAATGGCTGGAGTTGTGGTGAAGAGGAGTCATCAATAGGTCCTCAACTGGGGATTTTGCAGTGTTAGTAAAGATACAGAGTGGAAACCATTGATAATAACTGTGAAATGCACAGAAAGGGTTTAAGTTTAAAATAATTGAAGTATACTAAATATTTTCACATTTTTTTGTTATTTTGAAACATGGTTACTGTCCTTGCTGGTCATGCCATTGTTTTTGATTAAACTATTAGAAGCCGAGTGGCACTTTGCTTTACTGGGTACACACTATTGCTGACCTTTTTCTTCTTCCACCAGAGGTATTTACTTATTGAAAGTTAAAAATTAAAGAAAGGGGCATGCTACATCCTTGGAGATGTGGCCTGTCTCTGTCAGCTCAGCTTGTGGCTATAGGCTTCAACACTAATGCTGGGCAATGAGGGCTGGGCCATTTGGTTTATGTGTCCACTGTCCAACAACTGGAACCTTCCGTGTAACTGGATCAGGAAACTAGTAACATTTTGAAAGTGTTTCTGGTCTAACCTTTTGTGTGGGTGCAAGTATGATTACTTACTAATAATTATGTGTATTGTAAGTGAATCCCAAAGTTAATCCTCTATGTGAATTGGATCCCCTGTGGTTTTGGGTAGTCTCAGCCCTTAAGGGTTTGTAGCACAGGGTGGACCAGGAAGTGAGGGACTGGACCAATAGCTCCTGGTCTGGAGTAAGTGCTCAAGCCTGCTACTTTGTCAGGGGTGCATCTACACAGCAGAATTAATGCTGTTTGACAACACTATAACTGTCATAGCTCAATGCGATAGAATCTTGAGGAGTTGTAATTTGGTGAGGCACCAGCCCTCTTCAGCAGGGATCATTAAAGCCTTATAAAACTATAACTCCCATGATTCCATAGCATTGAATCATGGCAGTTGAAGTCACTGTTTCAGTGTCTCTGTTCTATGGGTTGAACAGTCATGGCAATTTAGGCACCTTACCTCAAGTGTGAAGTGTTTACTCCATCAAAAATATCAGAATAAAGCAATTATCTTGACAAAGTGGATCTCAATCTTTGGTTCTTAGGGTACTTCAAATCCCAGAACTCCCATCCAGCTTTGCCACCTGTCAGGAATTCTGGGAGCTAAAGCCCAAAACACCTGAAAACCAAATGTTGGGAACCAATGTTTTAACAGAACAGACAGCCTATTGTTTAGTGCAGAATCACTATCTGTGATATTACCAATCTGACAAAGGGGTAGTCAGGATAAAAGCCTGCCCACATGCACTGTTTGAACTTCAGGGAGATGAGGAAAAGACTGGATGGAAATATAATGAACATGTTGTCTTGCCTCCTTTTCAAAAATTGAACATGATTGCCTTCATCAGTAATTCTGTATATTACATTTTGCTATCTCTGCAGTACATTCCTCTAATCTTGCCTTTGCTATGTTTCCTACATGGTAATCTCTAAGATTACCCAGTGCTATAATGGCGTGCTTTTACTTTTAACTTGTGGCTTCCTTCCAGTAATGACAATAGCATTAACTATCAGCTCTTTCTTGACTTACAGTGATGACAAAAAATCTAAAAAATCTAAAGCCCCCTTTAATGCCTCTAGCAGTTAGCCAGTTACTTGATAGACTTTTATTTTAGTTCAGTAATTTTCTGACTCCGTTCCAGTTGCATGCATACAGCTGCATGGGATGTACATCCACATCAACATCAAAAGCCATATATCAATATGGCCTCTAGTGATGTTTTATTGCTAGCACTTCAGTGCTCCAATTTGTAATTGACATTCATTTGAATTCTACCCTCCGTGGTGTACCAAATCTCAGAACATTTGTGTTATCTAAAACAGGGATGGAGTATGTGTATCCCTTCAGTTATTGTTGTAGTTCAAGTCCCATATCACAATTACTGACTATTCAGGCTAGGGCTGATGGGAGTTGTAGTGCAGTAATATCTGTAGGGCCACATTTTTGCCCATCAGTGCTTACTAAGCTGAAGATATTTTGTAATTTATTTTGTAATTTCAGTGATTAATGAAAATAATGACTTATGCTGCCCCTTATTATTAACCTGCTAGGAATATTACATTCTGCTATAGTAGTGGTTCTCAACCTCTGGGTCCCCAGGTGTTTTGGCCTACAACTCCGAGAAATCCCAGTCAGTTTACCAGCTGTTAGGATTTCTGGGAGTTGAAGGCCAAAACATCTGGGGATACAGGGATTGAGAACCACTGTAGGATGCCCATTGGGTATGTTGGTAGATAGATGCAGTTAGAGTACCAGATTGAGGATAGCTGGTGTGGAATATTTGAATAGAAGATAAACATACAGCACAGTATAATGCTGTTTTACTCTCTGAAAATCCAGTTGGGTTGCTGGTGATTCCCTTGATTTTGTTTAGATGCTTTTGATTTTTTTTAAGAAGTTGAACTTGCCCCAGCGATATTTTATAAGTAGAAATGAAGCCTCTAATTCTTGGGCCCTTCTATGTTCTTCTGCTAAATATAGAAATAATGTATTCCCTTTTTCTAGTATGTTAGAACCTTATCTGTTTTTTAAGATTTGCATTTTTAGTTTCTCCGGTATTTTACGGTATTGTTTGTAAAGCCATGGATACAGATTTGTAGCCAGATTTTCTCTTAACCTCATGGCTGCATTGCTATGT